GCACAGATGCATTTGATTTGTAACCTCTAAGACTTCAGAGCTGGCAGGGCGGCAAGCAGTGAAGCAACTCAACAGTGATTCAGGCCCTGTTCATGCCACCCTTTTCCAGGGAGCATGCGCCGCGGAGGTGTGTCAGGGCGCGCTAACTCCTCGGCTTTCCCACCAGATGACATTATGTAAGACTCCCTTGGGCTCCATTCCTATAAAGGGCTTGGCCCACCCAAGAAATGGGGGTGACCCAACCGGACGCATGATATCTTTGTCCACCTGCCATTACGCGGTTTGCAGGCGGCACCCAGAAGTCGCCCGGTGTGCACACAACTGGAATATTGCTACACACAGCCCTTTGGGAAACAGCTGCTTTACCCCAGAGCCAGGGTAGCTCAACAGCAATGCTCTCACCCTCAGTCTTAGCAGAGGAAAACAGGAGGAATTTGCAAGGCTATTCGGTATTAAGCTGCTCGTTCCTATTGCAATAACACCCACAGGCCCAGTGTGGATGAGGACCCATTGAGCTGCATCTGAGCATTGGCAAGCATAGCCCATGTGCAATCACAGTCGAAGGCAGTGATTTGCAACCGGGGTGCCTCCAGATCCTTTGAAGGGTGTAGAAGAAGATAAGCAGATGAACTAGGTAGATAAACACAGGCTCAGGCTTGTCCTTGCCTGAATTATCCCACACAGGTGGTAGACTCTCCATCCTTGGAGGTTTGCAAGACCCAGATAGACACAGCCTTGGCTGGGATGATGTAGCTGGGGCTGGTCCTGCTTGCAGCAGGGGGTTGGACTAGATGTGACGTCCTGAGGTCCCTTCCAACCCTTATTGTCTATGATTCTGCAAAGGGATAATCATTGTAATATAAAAAATAATTTTTGAAATGGGGTGCCACTCAATTCACAAAAGTAATGGAGGGGTGCCTCAAGTCCAGGGGTGGTTTGAGTCCAAAAAGGTTGAGACCCACTGATCTAAGGAGACAGGGAAAGAAGACCGCAAGAGTCAGACACAACAGACAAGTCAAGCCAAGTCGTTTGGGTGCTGGCAAGCATAATGCTCATTCAGGACCAGGAAAAGAAAGATTATGACTTGTACACCCCAAACCAGAGGTACCAAGTATGTGGGGGCCTGAGGGCCTGGCCATCCTCAGGAAGAAGGCTGTGGCTTGAAATGCATAAAACTTCCCACATATCCATCATCATAGCCCACCCCAGCAAAAATAAGTCAGTGCCAATGTCCCAAGCAATTATTTTTCATGTGTCGGTTTAATTTACCATATTGTGTTGCATACAACACACACCTCTTCCCCCCAAAAACAACCTCTGGAAATTGGGGTGCACGTTATACCTGAGAAATAGGGTAAGAGCCAATTTCTGCTTGGTGGAGCCAAAAGTAGCATCTACACAGGGAGCACAGCAGTGAGCAGGTTCAGCTCCCGAGCCGCTGCAACTCAGTTACTACAAGGGAAAATCTCGTCTTCTTTATTCTGCTTTTTAAAACAAGGTGTGCATTATAGTCTAAGGCGTGTCATACTTGAGAAAATATAGTATACGGTGATCAGCTGCATTCATGGTGTTTTGCAATGGGGCCAGGGATGGAGGTGCGAGAAAGGAAGAGATCACTGTGGTCAAGGCTGAATGCCAGTCCAGAGGCCAGACCAAGAGCTGTCATCAGTAACTCATGGATGAGTGATTTGGCGTTTCCCAGCTGGGCCTGGCGATGGTTGAGCTGCTTCCTGTGAAGTCTGGGCAGGAGAACCAAATAATTGTGGGCGCTCGAAGATGAATCATCCTCCTGCAGAGAGGGCAAGTCGCCCCAAGGGGAACGGCAAAGGGAGCAGCACATGGAGTGGATGTGCCATGCATCCCTGCAGCACACATTAGTGCCTGTCCAGAGTCTCTACTGCCATGTGCTTTGCTTGGCCAAGGCTGTCCTGGGTCACTGCAAACTCCTACTAGTCACCTGTTTCCCAAGGTGGGTAAGGGTCCATCTCTACAGCCCAGATGGAGGCTCCCCAGTTGAGGACTCACCTGGAGTCCTGTGTCAACTTTTGGGCCCCGCACTTTAAGAAAGAGATGAAAGAACGTAGCACAGAGCAACAAAAATGAATAGCATCCTAGGAAATAAGACTGATGATGAGGAAAGACTGAAAGAAGTAGGGTTGTTTTGTCTAGAGAAGAGAGAAAACTGAGGGGAGGACTTGCTCATGGTCTTCAAATCCCTGACGGGTACTTATAGTCCCTGACGGGTCTTCAAATCCCTGACGGGTGGATGAAGATGGGATTTTTCTCTAACTAGGAGGAAGCTGCAGCAAGGGAAATGGAGGCTGGAGGTGAGGAGGGACTTTCTGACTATGAGGGTGGTCATGCATTGGAATAGGCTGATGGAAATGATGCTTGGAAACTTGGAAGGGCAGGTTGGACAGACACTTGGCTGGGATGCTTTGAGCAGGGGCCTGGACTAGATGACCTTGTGAGGTCTCTTCTAGTCTGACTTTCCAATGATCCTGCATGCATGGGTGCTAAAGGCACGGATGCAGTCTTGGGGTCATAAAGCCTTGCAATCCATCCTTGTAGAAATAGAGGTGCCATGCTCTGGGGTGCCTCCCAGCAGGCCTGTATGCAGCAGGCTCTCTTAGCCCACCTCCACTTCATAGCACCTGCAGAAGCAGCTGCATCCTGTACTGGACGAGGCCTGGATGCAAGGGCGAGCAGGAAGTGAAACAGGGTGGGAACATCATGCCCAGGTCTTGCATGCCACAGAGAGAAGCATTGTTGTACCAGGAAGGAGACTGAAGAAGTGAGGAGATGGAGGCGATCATTGCACCACCAGGAAGGGGCTATTTTGGTCCTGACCGTTGTGATTGCAGCAACTTGGGTGAGGTCAGGAAGAGGCGGTGGCCGGACATCTCGGGTGTCACACGGACGCCATGGGGTTCCTGCATCTTTCGCCGTGAGTGTCTCTCTAAGGCCTGGGCATGACCTAAGGGACTGTCCCCACCTCTACACTCCATCATGATCTCTAAGGGCCACATCCTTTCTGTAGTGGGGGCCCACAGCTGGACACAGGACTCCAGATGTGACCTCCCCAGTGCAGAATAGAGGGGAGGAATCACATCCCTCGATCTGCTGGCAACGCTCCTACCAATGCAGCCCAGGATGCCGGTCGCCTTCTTGGCACCGAGGGCACACTGCTGGCTCATATCCAGCTTATTACCCACTATAACCCCCAGGTCCTTTTCTGCAGAGCCAGTCACCCCCAGCCTGCACTGGTGCATGGGATTGCTCCCTCCTAAGTGCAGGACTTGTTGAACCTCGTGAGATTTCTTTTGGTCCAATGCTCCAATATGAACCTGGATCATGTGGTGGTGTCTTGGTGTTTCCAGGCTCTGGTTAGAGCATCCTCCCTTTGCTATTGTGCTTCCTAATTCAACAGTGCTCCCAAATGTGTTCCCATAACCGCCTTGGTGGCCCCAAGTGGTTTGTTTTCCAAATGCATCCAGAGTGCTGATTGCAACAGCTTCGCTCAGCTACCGCGACCCCTCCGTGGCTATCTCCAGGTAGGACCAGTGTAAGGCCTGCGACTATGGGAGAGCAGAAGGCGATGTGGTGTGCAAAGACCTTTGCAAGCTCATCTGGCTTTGCATAGCTCCCAACATCCCTGGGGTGCCTTTCACTGTGGTACTTGGGCACCTGGAGCAGGTCAGACAAGGAAGAGTTCTCAGGATTTATATTCTCAAGGTAGTTTTGCAAGCAAACTCATTTCCTGCCATGTCTGGCTGACTGCAAAATCTGGACTTTATTCTCCCATTTCCTCCAGAGCATAAAATCTCCATCCTGCTCCTTGCCTCCCTGTTGTCCTGGTTCAGTACGTTACTGCACCGGTGATGCTGGTTGCACCGGTTCCTCCGTCATGTCCAGGAGCCTGGGCAGCAGCAGGCTGAATTGCCTCCAGCTGGCTTTGCTGACCAAGGGGCTGTCAGTGGCCTAACTACCCACAGCTATGAGCATGTGTGCTAGTGTATAAGCCGTACCCCCTTGAGTACCCAGCAGGCTGCTGATGCCTTGTTCATAGGGGTCCTGGCCCCAGCAGACGAGCTGGAGCAGACAGGGAGAGCGTGTCTACCATGCAGGCACCTGGGTGTGGGCTCTACAGACTCCAGGTGGGGATTAATCTCTGCAATTAATCTCTTGTCCTCTGGCAGAAAGCCCTACAGCTTGGTTTAATTGCAGTGTTTCTGGAAGCTCCTTGCAGCAAGGACCTCTCTTTCCACAAGCACCGAGTCCCCTCCACTTACCTGCCTTGTGACTCTCCTACCTGCAGCCTTTGCTGAGGCTGGGATTGCATCAGGTGGGTCACAGCAAGCTTCAACCTTTGTGACACCCACCAGGATCGCCCGGCAGCAGGCCAAGCAATGACTTGTTTTTCCTCAGAGGGGATGAAACCTGTGTCTATCTTCTGTTCCCCAGCCACAAATACCATGAGCAGTGATGTACCGGTGTCGGGTGCTGATGCTGATAAGGGCGCTGGGGGAGATGTGATCAGAGCTGGGTGCAGTTTTGGGGATGGGAACTGGGTAGCAAGTGATGAGATGGGAGTAGATAAAGCTGTGGGCAGCTAATACCTCCTCTGGGGCAGTGATTGTCCCTGCACATGATGCTAGAACATGGGATCTATCATTACAGGATCATTTTCTCCAAGCAGTTGCCTTTCTGATCATCAGGGGGGGTCACAGCAAGCTTTGGGGTGGGGTGATGGCCTGTCTCCCCTTATACCGCAGCCAAGGGACACCGCTCATCGGTTTGCCGGAGCCCCTCTTCTCAGCTATGCACCTGCAATGTGCATAAACATCGAGGGTTCACCTGGCTGCACGTCGCTGGCGCCATCCACCTGAAATCAAAAGCAATGGCTGAGCCTACGGTGGATACCTCTGACATGTCTCCCTTCTCAAGGTAAGAACTTCACTTTGGAGGCTGATTGATGAATTGATGAATTTAAGGCTCACTTCTTTCAAGGGTTTCTTTTATTAGTGGCTTGGCCGGGTGGGAAATCAGGGAGAGAGTCACTGCTGGCAGCCTCAGCGTGGCCAGACCCCGGGGACTGAAGCGCATCACCTCCACCACCACCCTTACCCAGCCGTCCCGTGCTTTGCTTTTAGGGCAGAATAAGAGCCGTTATCGTTACTGCTGTGACCCCCCCCCCGATGATGAGCATCATTACTAGTGGGGCCTGCCGGGTGGCAGCTCCCACCCTAGACTCAACCAGGTTTGTCTACAAGGGCAGCACTTCTCGGCTGAGTTTCCCGCAACTCTGCTCAACTGAGCAGATGGGCTGAGAGACACGGGGCTGGGTCGGGGAGGTTTCAGGGCACAACTGTGGTGAGAAACACAACAAGGAAACTCTTTGCAAACAGGGTCTTGCTATTTAAGATGCCCAACCCCTGCAATTCCCCAATGCATCAGGGTCCAGTCCAGGACAGGAGATGGAGGGAGCTGGCCAGGAAGGCAGCCACCAGCACAGCAGCGCTGATCCCGGAGGTGGCCGCACTGTTATAATTGCAATAGTCAGTGTGGCAGCAAGTGGTGGACATGCTTCCATTGTTTTGCCTGGTTTCTTGACACATGACCATGCACATCTTGCTGATGCGTATCCCGCTGGAAAAGCCTAATGAAAGGAGAAGCAGAAATGCCGTGTTACTGCATCTGGGCCACGGAGGAGCCCCTTGCTCTGTATATCAGCTCTGCTGGCAGCATGGGCAGGTCTAGGATTTTGCAAAGGGGGGCACAGATAGGGTGGTGCATCATCACATACAAAAACACCATGCATTTGCTCCAGCTAAAGAGAAAACTAGAAGCTTTATTAATAATTTAGTGGCTAAGGGCTGCATTATTCAGTTTAAGATTGAAGCAAAAACAAATAATGTGCAAACCAAGAATAAACTAGGCAAAAAATAATGAAAAGACATTTCATTCGTCCTGTAGTCATTAGCATTAAATGTGCACCTCTTTCAGATTCATAAAACAAAACCAAGCTTTCTTGAGCACGGCATCTGGTACTTCACTGAAGGTTATTTGCAGGCCTAAATTCATGTCTCCACACCTGAGTTCATGTTTTTAGCTAAAAACCAGTCTGCAGGGCTGTGAAATAGGAGCTATATTACCAGGAGCCACTAACAGACAGCAGAATTGCAAATGAAAGGATAGCTTGATTAGTGGAAAATCAAGACCATTGCAAAGGAGACGGCTGTTAACACCTGTGGAATGAAGAGTTTCGAAGGAATCGGGTAGGAATGAGCCACGAAGTCAGCGGACTCCCTCCCTGTTGCCTGAACAGAAATGCTGAACTTGGGTGGAGCAGCAATCGAAGGGAGGTGCAGCTGGATCCACCCTTGGCTGGCAATCAGAAACAGAGATGTTGCAATGATGGCCCGCTCTCCCATTGCTAGGGGGGCAAAGAGTGATGCTACACTGGGCGTTAAGTTAAACCCATAGAGTTTGTGGCCTTCCACTTCCCTAGAGGGGACTCAGCTGCATGGTTTGGGATGGGGAGGGAGGTCTTAAATCGCATGAGGGAGCTCTCGGTGGGAGGTTGTTAATCAGGCCCCAGTGCCACAATGATTTTGGGGGCACCGTATGATTGGGTGCAAGGGGTGATGGACTGGACTGGCATCGATTAGTGCACTAAATCCGTAAATTAAACACAGCCAAAGGGATTTCATAGATTTCATAGACATTAGGGCTGGAAGGGACCTCGCGAGATCATCGGGTCCAGCCCCCGATGGAGGGGGAAGAGACAGACAGTTTTGCAAGCCAGGGGATCACAAGCTTCATCATGAGATTTCTAAAGGGAATTTATCCCAGTGGCACATTCATATGGTTTTTCAATAGACTATTCCAGCTAGCTCTTGCTGGTACCTGGCTTTGGTTTCCTGGGTGTGGATAGGCGTGGGTGTAGGCATTTACTTTCATTTGCCTCTAGCAAAATGCCTCTCCCCAAAGCAGATGCACGTACAGCAGCTCTCGCCAAAAGCTTCACGCTTTGTTTTTCCAACATAGCCTTGGTAATAAGCATTTGAGATGAGCTACTAAGCAACTGAGATGTGAGAGATATTTGGGAGCTTCATATATCAGGGGAGACAGGGGTGGTCACTACCTACAGTACTATTTGGGCCTTACTTGCAGGGCCCAAATAGGACCATTAGGGAATAGGACATTTCTTTTCCTGTAGGAAAGAGGAAATAGAGAGTGATCTGATTTGGGGGGGGATCTCCAAAGACTAGGGGCCAGGGAGCATTGCAGGCTGAAGCAGCTGAGTATAATTGCTGTTTGGCTTGGGCACTGCATCCATGGGGCTGGCATGCAGACGGCAGGCCAGCGAGAAGGGATGTGGGCATCATCACATCCAGCTGCCTTTCATCTCCACACCTGAGTGACCAGGAACCTCTTTAGAGCTGGGCTGGTGGGGAGCATGGATTCAGATCACGGCTCAAACCCCTGCCTGCACAGCTGTATCAAGACACCTCTTGCACGCCGCCATCACAGTCCCACCTTTGACCAATATCCTCCTTGGTAATTAATGAGAATCCTTAGCAATTATCTAGGGCTTGGCATGCAAACAAACATTCTTTATACCTCCCGCCGCTGCAGCAAGGTAGAGAACTGTACCATCTCCATTGGGAAAGCACAACAGGAGTTAAGTGCCTTGCCCAAGGCTGGAGGGGAGAGGCAGTGTCGTAGCACAGCTGGTTGCAGAGCTGTGCACACCCAGGCGGGTAGCCGGGCGAGCTCTGCTAGTCAACAAAACTGAGACTTACCAGGTGGGTTCATGACAACGGTGGTGCCGCAGTATTTGGCATTATTCGGGCAGTCGTCGGCCACCATGCATAAGTCATTGCTGGGCTGCGCGTTGCACGTATAACATATCAGTGCGTTAGCTGAGGAAGGACACATCATTCAAGTCACAACCACGGGAGATAAAACAAGCATCCACTTCCCCTAGCCTACCCCCAGCCCCCTTAGCTTCTGCCCTACGTCTCAAGCCACTTGCGGTCTATTGTCTTGCCCTAGGAAACATACAGCCTGTAGGGTTTGCTCGAGCAGATCCATCTTTTCAGCTCTCTCGCCTCCAAGAGCAATGCAAGGGCTAATGCTTCCTTGCAGGAAAACCCTCCTGCACGGATGGGACCAAGGCAGATGTGCTGTTCCAGATGTAAAGCACTGGCTTTCATCATGCCTCAACAGTCAATAATAAATCCCTCCTGACTTTCTCATCCCCATTTCTGGAGGGTGTTGGTCTAGAGACAAAGGCAGACCAGGTTCTTTGAGATCTTTTATTAGAGCAACTAAATAGTTGGAAAAACCATTCTTTGCAAGCTTTCATGTACAAACACCCTTCTTCACATGCAAAGACTCTCCCTCTGCCTGAAGAAGGGCGCTTGTGCTCAAAAACTTGCAAAGAACAATTTTTTCCAACTATTTAGTTGCTCTAATAAAAGATAGCACATTCACCCAAAGAAACTTGTCTGCTTCTTCACCATTTAGTATTTTGTACAGCTTTATATTCCCCACCTCAAGCATCTTTTATAAAATGAAATATTATATTTATAAAATATATTGTATATTATATATTATATGTAAATATTATATTTATAAAATATTATAAAATGCCTGGGCTCTTTAGTCTCTCCTCCCAGGGAAGCCCCTCTGTACCCCTCGTCATCCTTGTTGCCCATCTCTAGCTCTTCTATCTCCTTTTGGGGGTGTGCGGACCACAACGGGGCACAGCGTTCAAGGTGTGGATACCATGACTTTTCAAGCTGAGTTTCCAGTTTTCAGGCTGATCTGACTCTCCTTGGGGTACATAGGGGGTGTTATATTCAAGTGGGGTGCTAGAATACAGGAAGGGGGGCAGAACTTGGGGGTAAAATTTGAAGTCATTTCATAGTTTTATAGGGGCTGGAAGGGACCTTACAGATCATCGGGTCCAGCCCCCTTGCTCCTGGGCTGGAAAGACCACTGGGATATTTGAGCCAAGATACAGAAAGTTAAAGGAACTGAGGCTGAGGAAACCCCACTGATGTAATGACATGAAACTGGCCTCTCGGTTTGCAGATGGGGAGGGTGATATAAAGGTGCATTTAAATCCACTCGTTGCAGAGCAGAACTGGCCTGCGTGAGAGGAATAGGACATCCCTTACTTAGACCCACCAGGGGAATAAATAAAGAGAGACATCCTGGAGGGGATCTGAGCTTTCCCCATCCTTTTCCCAGTGCCGTTTCATAGGTCCGAAACGGTGGGCATGGCCAAATGCAACCAACCCAGCCCTGCCCATCACTTCTGTAGGAGCTCTAGCATGGCCCAGCATGAACCCCGGGAGCCTCACCTTGTTCTGCGTACAGGACCGCAGTCAGGAGCACCGTCAGGAAAGGCTTCATCTCAGCTGGTGTTTCTCAACTGATGCAGCAGGGAGGGTTTATATACCTCCTTGGGGCTGGGGCAGCTGCAGAAGCAGTACTTGGAAAGGCTGGCTCCTGAAGTGGGCCAGGCCATGAATAATATGTTTTAGTCTGGGAAGCATCTGCGCAACAGGGCTTTTGCAGCAATTGTTAGCCACAAACCGTTTGTGGGAGCTAAGCGCTGGCTTCCCTCCAAGGATCTCGCTCGCTGCCTCTGCCCAAACTTGCATTGGCCTCTGGTTGTTGGAGGGTGGAAGCAGCTGGGAGAGTTTACGCAATGAAGTCTTGTGGCTGTGCTGGATGGGGTGGGGGGACATCACTTTGGATGTGCTTGCTAGGACTCTCGGTGCTCCTTGTTTGTGCGACCTGAGCAGCTGGTTAGGGACGGTGCCAGGCACTGCAGAAGCACTAAATAGAGACATCCCCTGCCCCAAAGAGCTTGCAATCTGGCAGCAGATGGAGGCAGACAGGACAAGGAGCTAAGCTTGGTGCTATGATGGGCCTCAAGACATCAGCAGCTTGACTGTCACCAGCTTCTGAATTAAGTGCCACTTCACAGGACAGCTTTAAGGATGGCTTTGAGGGACAGCCTTGAGGATGCTTCCAGGAAGGGGCTTGTTGGACAATCTCAGAAGTGGCTGATGAGATTGTTATGCTCCCAAAAACAGGTAGGGCTGTGGGAGCCACCAGAAGATGCTCTCCACCATGGTGGCATCCACAGTCTCTGAGCTGGGCTTGTGAGCTCCAGGTACAGCTGAGGACAGGCAGCCAGCTAGGGGCATCTGTGAATCAACTCTGACTGCATCCCAGAGTCATGGAAATAAGGCTGATCCCATGTCTGGACTTCCACATCTGGCAGCCCATGCCGCGGGGGGTGGCTTCATAGATTTCATAGACGTTCAGGCTGGAAGGGACCTCACAAGATCTTCGAGTCCAGCCCCCCGCGCCAGGGGCAGGAAGTCAGCAAGGGGCATAGGATCCCAGCAAGATAAGCATCCAAATGTCTCTTGAAAGCGTTCAAAGTAGGTGCTTGAACCACCTCCGGTGGCAGGCTATTCCAGACCTTGGGGGCTCGGACAGTAAAGAAGTTCTTCCTTATGTCCAGCCTGAAACGGTCATGGAGGAGTTTGTGACCGGTCGACCTCGTCATCCCTTGGGGCGCTCTGGTGAACAGACGTTCCTCCAGATCCTGGTGAGCACCCCTTGCAAACTTGTAGGTGGCCATCAGATCACCCCTGAGCCTGCGCTTTTCCAGGCTAAAGAGCCCCAGGGCTCTCAGCCTGTCATCGTAGGGTCTGCTTCCCTGACCTCTGATCATGCGCGTGGCTCTTCTCTGGACTCTCTCAAGCTTCTCCACATCCTTTTTGAATTGTGGAGCCCAAAACTGGAATCAGTACTCCAGCTGCGGCCTCACCAAGGCCGAGTACAAGGGGAGAATGACGTCCCGGGATTTGCTTGAGAAGCATCTATGGATGCAAGCCAGCATTTTGGTCGCTTTACTAGCCCTATAAGCATGCTGCAGGTTTTCCCTCCCAAGGTGGAGAACCTTGCATTTTTCGGTGTTAAACACCATCAGGTTCTCGTCCGCCCATTTCCTGAGCCTGTCCAGGTCAGCCTGGATTGCCCTCCTGCCCTCAGGTGTGGATGCTTTACCCCAGAGTTTGGTGTTGTCAGTGAACCTGGCCAGTCCACTTCTGACTCCAGTGTCCACATCATTAATGAAGACGTTAAACAGTGTAGGCCCAAGGACAGAGCCTTGAGGGACCCCACTGGTGACCACGCACCACGACGATTGACTTCCGTCAACCACCACCATCCGGGTCCGACCATGGAGCCAATTCCCTAGCCAGCGGATCGTGGTGAGGCCGAGGCCGCAGTTAGCCAGTTTTGGCTAAGAGATGATCATGGGTTACCAGATCGAAGGCTTTTCTGAAGTCAAGATATGACATCAATCCCTTCTCCCTTGTCCAGGTGATAGGTCACCTGGTCATAGAAAGAAATGAGATTGGTCAAGCAAGACCTACCCACAACAAACCCATGCTGGCTATCCCTCAGGATGTTGCCATCAGTCAGTCTGTTAAGAACGGTCTCTTTGATAAACTTTTCTAAAACCTTCCCCAGGATAGAGGTCAGGCTGATGGGCCTGTAGTTAGCCGGATCCACTTTCCTCCCTTTCTGGAAGATAGGTACCAAATTGGCCTTCTTCCAGTCTTTGTATGAAACAGAAGCATAGAAAATGAGGGCTGAAAGGACCTCAGGAGGTCACATCTAGTCCAACCCCCTGCTCCAAGCAGGACCAGCCCCAGCTACATCATCTCAGCCAAGGCTTTGTCTAGTTGGGTCTTCAACACCTCCAAGGATGGAGACTGCACCACCTCTCTGGGTAACCTGTTCCAGTGCTTTACTGCCCTCCTAATGGGAAAATTCTTCCTAATATCCAACCTCAACTTCCCTTGCTGCAGCTTGAGCCCATTGCTCCTTGTCCTGTCATCTGCCCCACTGAGACCAGCCCAGCTCCATCCTCTGTGCAGCCCCCCTGCAGGGAGGGGAAGCTGCTATTCAATCCCCATCGGTCTTCTCTTCTGCAGACTCAATCAGCCCATTTCCCTCAGCCTCTCCTCACCAGTCCTGTCCCCCAGCCCCACAACCATTTTCATTGCCTTCCACTGGACTCTCTCCAATGTGTCCACATCCTTTCTGTCGTGGGGGTCCACAGCTGGACACAGGACTCCAGATGTGGCCTCCCCAGTGCTGAATGGAGGGGAAGGATCACTGCCCTCGATCTGCCGGCGATGCTCCTACCGATGCAGCCCGGGATGCTGGTTGCCTTCTCGGCACCAAGGGCACACTGCTGGCTGCTATTCTGGAGCACTGGGCTATGTTCCCCGTGTGACCATAGGAAAAAAAACATTCAACCTCTGCAGACCCTATTTCCTTCTCTGACAAAAAAGGGAGACTGTCCTTGAGGGCTGGTGTAGCTGTTTATAAGATGCTGGGAGAAGGAAACTTGGGTCCCTCCCGGCTGAAGCTCTCAAAAAACTGGGAGCAGAGATTTTCTGAAGGAATAGAGTCATCCCGACGGGCCTGTCCTCGCCAAGCTGAGACATGACATTAGGGCCTGGAGATATGCCCCAAAAACTGGAGGAGCAGGTTGTCGGCTGGGTATGGAGAAATCCACTGCCCTGGCTGGCTCCATGGAGGACGTGACTGGGCCCGGCAGGGAGCAGGACACCAACAACAAGGATACAGGTATATTTGTTGAGCAAGGGAAAGCAAAGGGCGTGAGTCAAGCATGTCTCAGCAATAGGAATGGTTTGCTCCCTGGCACAACTGTATGCCGGAGCGAGCACATGGGTGTAGTCCTGTTCGTAATGTAAAACATCTCATCAGCATTAAGAGGCAACTGCGGCTCGGTGATGGGAGCAGGTCTTTCTCATAGATTCATAGATGTTAGGGTCAGAAGGGACTTCAATAGATCATCGAGTCCGACCCCCTGCATGGCAGGAAAGAGT